TAAGACCAGTACATTATGTATGAAGATCTAAAATAGTTTTACTGCTGATTTTTAAAGTAGTCCATAGAAAAAAAGAAATTCTAAAAGTTATATATGTGTATTTATCAGAAAAAAATTATTTACTCTTCCTGGGTTTCCCTTGAGTATCAGTTAGTTGCACAAAGGAACTCCTGTGAGTCCCCAGATACAAGGAGAAAAGTAAGAACATGATGTGGGACACAGCTGGGACTGAAACTCAGGGAATTTCAGTGGCATTGATGACTAGAAGCAGATTCTCTTACACACTTCCCCGAACTAGGGAAAGGCAGTATAGCCCAGGAGGCCTGAGCAGTAATAATTACTTGTACTTATCATGGAATAAATTGTATTTAATGCAGCCAACTTATTGGCTGGGGCAGTGGTTCTCAACCAGGAGCAGTTTTGCCCCGCAGGAGACATGTGGCATGTTTGGTTGTCATAACGGGTCTCTAGTGGGCAGAGGCCAGGGGTGCTGGGAAGCATCTCTGATGCACAGGATGGAACGCATCACAACCACAGAGACTTCCCCAGCCAAAGTGTCAGCAGTGCCGAGACTGTGAAACCCTGGTCTGGAGCATTTGGTCTGTCATCTCTACTTACAGAGTAGGAAGTGAAAAAATTCAGATGTAAAGTTACCAGAAAGATGAGGAGAGACCTCTCCCCTTTGCTTCTCATAGGTCACTACTGTCAACCTCGAGTGCATATCCCTGGGGAAATTTTATTATGCATACAGAGTGTCAGGTCCATGAAGTGTGCCGTAGCGCTCGGTGTCCATCCCTAAAGGCTTTGCCTTCTCAACCCAGCTCTGAGATGCTTTGAATAATTATCTCAAAAAAGGCAAAAGTGGCCATGAGACGGTTGATGGTACCTTGCACCCATGGTACCTTGCACTGATGTCTACACAGCACTTGTAACATGCTTTTTATGGTTGTGCATACATTTATGTGCATGTCGTATGTACATTGCAGTATGTCTCTATTATAATGCTGCATTGACATATTTATACTATATATACTTGCTCACCAAAACAGGTGTTTCTGTAAGAGAGATTCCTGGGACCAAGGACTCGTGTATTTTAAATACGCTTAGCAATATATTTCACAGGTTGTTTTTTCTCATTAGCGGGGCCTTGGAAGGGTTAATCATTTATCCTTAAAGGACTTCTCTTGGAATTTATTTGCCTGTTTTTCTCCTGACTCCTTAAATCACTCTCCAAGTCTCTAGTAATCATTGTCTTTCTCTCCTCAGTACCTGTGTCTGGCCTTGATTTTTTTGCCTGAGGCGTTAACTTAATAGGGGGAACTGTTGCCATTAAAAATACAAAGGATAGTCATTACTCTTATTTAGAATCCTAGAGTAATACGACTTTAAGGCTAGAATAGATTGTAGGTAATTATAATACCTGATATTTATTGAGTTCTTACTATATTATACAAGGTGCTCTACCAAGCACTTTACCTAGATCATCTAATTTTCATAATGCCAACTCTATGAGGTATATATCAGGCACTAATACTTACCCCCACGTTACAGGCACAGTGAGTTTAAATAAATTGTTTGGTATCCCATCGTGAGCAGAGCCAGGATTTAAACCCACAGTTTGGAGGTAGAGCTCCCACTCTTGAGCCATAATGCCTCCTAGCTGATGTCTGGTAAGTTGCTTACAGACAAGAAACAAGTCCAGGGAGAATAAATGACTTATTCAGAATCGAAAATTGCTAGATAGTGGCAGAGCCAGGACCAAACCCAGATGAGAAGTCAGGGGCTCCCAGTATTTAGCTGTATGACCTTGGGCAAGCTCCTTGGTCTTCCTGGACCTCGGCTGATTCTGCTGAGAAATGAGGCATGGATAGTCCACTGAGAGCTTCTGGGCTCTGCATCTTTAAAGGGAAGAGTTGCAGCACAGTTAGCACGCATCTTTTCGTTGTAAGACAGATGTGAAGCGTTTCAGTTAGATTTCGGCACACCCACTCAGGGATGTGATTCAAGGGCAAAATTAGATTTTTAATTGAATATCTTTTCGTGGAGTGAGGGAGCAGTCATTGTCCCAAAAGATGTCTGGATGAATTTGGAGTGGCTG